GAAACCTGGCATGGAAGCATTCATTTAAGTCACTAGTGGGTAAGCTTGTTTTGAAGATTTATTTAAATAAACTAATTTTTAAATTAAGTTATCACTAGGTAATCATGAGCACCATGGTGTACATGAAAGTTGGTGGTCTTTAAACAATTTTAAAATTAAATTTTTTTAAATTGCAATTGCGTTAAATTTGTCTATGATGATGAGCCTAATGCAGTGATAATGTGTACGTTCTTGCAATCTTTGGCAACTATATTAATAAAAGGTAGAGGACATTGTTTTAAGGTTGATTGGCTCTAAAGCTTTCAGAAATTGGAAAAAGAGTATCATTCATCTCTAACAGAAAAGATGTACAAGTAATCCTTGGTTAACAACCACATATTCAGTGACTGTTACGACAGCACTGAACAAGGGGGCCTTGTGACTGGTCCTCAACGTTCCGGCCATCCCAATACCCATACAGTCACATGATTGCAATCTGGGTTGTACTTAATAGGGTTGCAGCATTCCACAGTCACATGATCACCACTTGCAACCTTCCCTCAAGCAAAGTCAATGAGAAAACTGGAAGTTTGTAAGTCTCTTCAGTAAGTCTCCCTCTCCTGGCAGCAACCATCCCTAACCCAGCTACACTGGCCTTATTGTCCACTTGCATATCCTCTCCATTGTCCATTAAATTGAAGGTTTATTGTAAAAATACTTTTACATCTATATTCAGTATGTTTCTGTTTGTATTTCTCAGTACATATGAAGGTGGTCTTCATTTATCAGGAAGCATGCATTCCCTTTAGAATCCTTAAGATGCTGTTTACCATATTTATTTTTGGCATTTGTTAGACAGATTTATATATTTCTAAACAAACCGTACTATAACAAACTACTAGTTTATGTGGAGTCTGGAAGTATTCTGGGAAATCAAGATGATGGCTGATGGTGGTACTTTATTTCATAGTATGCTAGCTCTGCATCTGAAAAGAATAAAATAGACATAGATTTCAGTAAAGCTCAGCATCCTTAAGATTGTCAACACTGACTGAAAAACCTTTGAAAATTCCTTTTTCTGTGATAAAAGGGCAGATGTGCCACATTGCCACATTTTTGTGTCCATATTTGTATGTGTGTATCTGTATCAGCAGAACACACACCCAAAAAGGAGAATCAGGACAAAAAAAATATGCTGAGAAGTTAAATTATTCTAAAATTGATTCCCTGTATTTTTTCTCATTCATACAAATCTTAGAACTTTGCCCATTTTTTTCAGCAATGAGAAAAGAGTGGTTTGTCATTCTTGCATTCATATGATGAGTTCATCAATAAAATAGATTTTGGATACAATATATAGTTACCTGGAAATAAAAATTTGTTGAGTAAAGCTGCCCTGTGGATACACATTCAACAAAGTTTGAATGAATTAACTACTTCTGTGCATTCAATGTTCAGAACACCCTGTTAAATTATGTAAGACTTGCTCTAAATAGGCTCAGGATCATAATGTCAGGTTTGCTTATAGCTTAGTTTAAGTAATAAATATTTCTGTTACCCTGAATACAGTAATTACTATTGTTTTGCAGTTGGTGTTCTTTCCCATGTGAAGCATCTTAAAGGTACCATTCTTCGGGTAGAAACAAGGTCATAAATTATTTTGCAGTGGCTGTTTGGTACATGATTGCAGCTTCTCATGGCTTTCTTGTTTTAAATGTGATCTCTGGGAACTGTATTCATTATGTGCATTGTAGTTGTTATCTAAATTTGGCTTTGTCTGAGATACTAATTTTTGCCTGTGCATGATCATGAATATTTGATGGTTGAATTGCTTAGTAATGAATAGCTTAATAACACATACATTAGAAAATAATGCAACTCCACTACTTTAAACAAATGGTCTGGTTGAGTGCCATTATAAATGAGTATGACATGAAGAATAAATATGGCAAGGAGATTCTATTTTCTCTTGCTTATATTCTAGTTCTCTTTATAAAGGTAAAGGTTTCCCTGTCCAGTCGTGTCTGATTTTAGGGTGTAGATCTCATCTCCATTTCTTGGCTGAGGGAGCCAGTGTTGAAGACATTTTCCATCGTCATGTGGCCAGCATGGCTATACGCCAAGTTATCTTTCCACCTATTAATCTACTTGGATTTGCATGCTTTCTAATTGCTAGGTGGGCAGGAGCTGGGGCAGGAACAGGAGCTCACTCCATTGTGCAGTACTTGGTTCTTTTATATGGGAGTCTAATTATTCCATAAATTGGCAGTAGAAACTTTAATGCACACAGGGACTCCTTCCCCATTCAACCCAAAATTATTCTGGCATTTCATGTATGATATGCCTAGTTTATTTTATTTTTAGTCATAATAGTTATGATTGAATGAAGAATTTTTTCCAGGATGAAATACTAGCCTTTATTTCTTAGAACATTTGATCCCAAATGTATTCAGAGACATTACTGGAAAGTAAAAGCAACAGACAGCTGGAAAAAAACTGCTTTATTTTGAAGTTTTGATGGGCAACCCAAATTGAAATGGCACAAATAACATCATTTGTATTGTTCTATAAGAATGGAGATATAGGGATGACATCATGATAGCCTTGGGAGATTGGAAGTGACTCAGTGTAGTGGGAAGAGGTTAAAAAATGGCCAGGAGTGATCTGGAGGAGAGAAGGAGGATGGAAGAAGGCTTGAATTGAAAATGTGACCAAGCAACAAAAAGGATAAGGAGACATGGAATAGCAACTCTGTGAGTGATTTCTAGTCTTCATAAACTTGTCATATTGAGTGTAGATAGAAAAATTGTGGACCACTGACAATTGACACTAGCATAGGAAATGCCATTTATTTCACTGTATTATGCTTGTATATTGTATTTCATTTTGTTTTGTTTCTGTTGATATGTTGGCAACAACTTTTTTTTTATTTAAAAAAAAGACTTCTCTCAAAGATGCTTTTCCAAGAGGCAACTGGACTTTCTGGTTTTTCTTTGAAGATGTTTCGCTTCTCAGCAGCTCTTGCTGAAGAAGCTTCTTGGATGAGAAGCGAAACGTCTTCAAAGAAAAACCAGAAAGTCCAGTTGCCTCTTGAAAAAGCACCTTTGGGGCAACCATGATCTGGACGACTGAGAATCTCTATAGACAAAAGACTTTTCTCTTTTGCAACTAAACTGTATGAATGGAGAGCTCATATTAACTGAAGGTTAATGTTGAAGAATTGTTAAGTGTTAGGGTCTGGAAGTATGTTTAGTAACATTGTATTGAAGATTACCTTTCAAGTTGCAGTCTGAGAAATTTGAGATATTCAAGTCCAACTCTTCATATTTCAATATTTCACGGACAAAATCTCTGATGGAATAAATAACTAACACAGAATACATAGTAGCAAATGTGTACTAGTATCTTTCCTACTTGCTCCTTAGATGAAACATGTTAATCAGTATGGTGGAATACAACAGCACATAATTAGTATGCATGATATATTGATACTGTAGGTTGGTGTTAAGCAAAGTATTGCTAATAATACTTGTGAACTGAAAATAAATTCTACTCTTTCAAAGTGTTCTATGATTTTAATGGCAACCATAAAAATTACTTACCTGGAAAACTAATATTAGAAAAGAGGTATATATTTAGTAGCCTTTTGATGTTAAGCAGCAGCTGGGAGAAAAAGCAGGCAGGCTGCTCAAATGATCAGCCAACTCCTCAGATCACCAACCACTCTGTGGGTCATCATTCAGAATTCTTGCTTTAATGTACTTACAGATGAATAGAACACTTTTTACAGGGTTTTGCTTATAGTTATCTTTTAGGACTATTGCAGATTTAAGCATTTAAGCTCCATCAGTGGGTTTTCAGGGAGCTTTTTAAATTGTCCAATGATCCAGAATTGTCTACACTTATTTTTAATAGAAAATTTTGTAGTTAATTAGTATGAAATATTTTATTAATAGACCTGTCAAGTGAATGGGTTACTCAATCTAAAAGTCATTATAAATATCTTTAGTATAAATATATTTTTACCATTGAAATCAAACTGAAAATTCAACTCTAATGATTAATAGCTTGATAGCTGTGATTAGTCAAAGTAATTCTTAAAGCATATGAGCATATTTTTATACTGAAATTTTTGTATCAATATTTGTGTCATTACCAATAAAAATAAAGTACTGAGGGATCAGTGTTGGACTTTCTGTCTAAATTTTCACACGCATTCACATATACAGAAACAGAGAGAGAGAGATGTAGATGTTCAAAGTCTGTCACATCTAAATTCTATATGACATGCTTACGTTCTTGAGGGAGGACTTGAAATCTTACATTCATCTGGAATATACCCATCTTAAACTGCATACTAACATGAAAACCAACTGCACTCCAGTAGTAAAATTAGACCTAACTATTTGTACTAAATTCCTCCTCTTGTCATTTGGAAACTTTCTGCTATCGTCACCCAAAAATTGACAAGTGACAAAGATAATAATAATACATATCTTGTGTCTGTACCTGGCAACATGATATTTATATATCTGACTGAGGCAGATACTGGCTAGTTGGGCATGTGTACAATTACTGCTGCTTATTTTAGTAGTTCTAATTATTAACCCTTTTCTGCAACATAATCATGAGCTCTTGGAAGTACATGCTGTATATGAAGGCAGACATTTTTTTTAATCCTATGGTCCTTATGATATGTCTCGTCAATTTAAATGTAAAACTGCACCCATTTGGAATTATTTATTTATTTACAGTCATATGTTAGACATATGGAAACAGTAGTAAAGTATGGAACAGTGGGAGGAAAAATTAGTGTTCTTCCCAATTAAAGTAATGTAGCTGATTTGTGTTAAAGTAACACAATTATTTCAGTTGCTTAATATTTTATTGATGTTTAAATTATAAACTGAAAGTGAGATGAATTACTTTATTTTTATTCATGAATTAAGTATTCAGCTATTTATTCTTCATTCAGTAAGTGACTTTCCTAAATTAATTGTCTTTCTGTCTTTGTGATATAGGTAACATAATCCATGGGTAAAGTTGGGAAAATGTGGAACAGCTTTAAGTACAGATGCCAAAGTCTCTTTAATCCTGAAGGTGGAAATAGAAATGAAAATGTGGACATAAATTCCAATAGTGCATCTGTTAGAGATAAAAGTGTTTGTATGCCTGGTCCAACTCAGCAGCAACCAAGCAGTCCTTTGCAACTGAATCTAAATACTTCAAAAGGCTTTTCAAGAAAGAATCAAAACTGTGCCACAGAAATCCCTCAGATTGTTGAAATAAGCATTGAGAAAGAGATTGACTTGAATGTTGCCTCAGGAGCTAAATTTGCACGAAGGGATTCCTACTCAAGACATGCTCCATGGGGTGGGAAAAAGAAACATTCCTGCTCTACAAAAACCCAGAGCTCATTGGAAAGTGATATAAGATTTGGCTGTTCTCACTTGCAAAGGAGGGAAAGAAGATACGGTGTGAGCTCAGTTAACGATACAGATAGCATCTCGAGCAGAACCATAGGAAATCGTTCTCTGAGGCAAAGATTGCAGGAAACTGTAGGCTTATGTTTCCCTATGAGAACATACTGCAAACAATCTAAGCCTCTTTTTTCCAACAAAAGGAAGATCCATCTTTCTGAACTAATGTTAGAAAAATGTCCTTTTCCTGCTGGATCAGATCTGGCCCAAAAGTGGCATTTAATTAAGCAGCACACAGCACCAGTGAGCCCACATTCTGCTATTTTTGATGCATTTGACTCCTCCTTGGCTTCTACAGAAGATGAGGAAGATAGGCTGAGAGAGAGACGAAGGCTCAGTATAGAAGAAGGTGTGGATCCTCCTCCCAATGCTCAGATACATACTTTTGAAGCTACTGCACAGGTTAACCCATTGTATAAATTAGGGCCAAAGCTGCCCCCTGGCATGTCTGAACTGATGGGAGACTGCAATTCAACAACACAAGGAAGTTGTGATTTAGAGGAAGACACAACTACTCTCTGCTTGCAGTCACGTAGACAAAAGCAGCGCCAAATATCTGGTGAGAGCCATAGCCACATCAGCAGACAAGGAGCTTGGAAAGTACATACTCAGATTGATTATATTCACTGCCTAGTGCCAGATTTACTTCAGATTACTAGTAATCCCTGTTACTGGGGTGTGATGGACCGTTATGAAGCAGAAGCACTTCTAGAAGGAAAACCTGAAGGCACTTTTTTGCTCAGGGACTCTGCTCAAGAAGACTACCTCTTCTCCGTGAGCTTCCGCCGTTACAACCGGTCTTTACATGCACGCATCGAGCAGTGGAATCACAACTTCAGTTTTGATGCTCATGATCCCTGTGTGTTTCACTCCTCTACTGTAACAGGGCTTCTGGAACACTACAAAGATCCAATTTCTTGCATGTTTTTTGAACCGCTACTTACAGTTTCTCTAAATAGGACTTTTCCTTTCAGCTTGCAATATATCTGCCGGGCAGTCATTTGCAGGTATACTTCATATGATGGGATTGATTGTCTTCCTTTGCCAACAATGTTGCAAGACTTTCTGAAGGAATATCATTATAAGCAAAAGGTTAGAGTACGATGGTTGGAGCGGGAACCAATTAAGGCAAAGTGAACAGAGTTCAGAATCCCTAGTAAACTCACATTGTGATTTTTTGTGTATGTGTTACAGTATACCACGTTAAGCACATCAGTGTTCAGCTTTTAATGTACTTTGAGCTTATTGTGTTTATGATGCTGCCTCCAGTTAATTGTGAATACCTCTTGAAACATGAACAGAACACAAAATCACATTTTTCATCCATTTTGATTTGCCGGTTACAAAATATGTCTACTTTCTATTACAATATTAATATAACACAACTATTGGGCATTAACTTTTAAATTCTATTCAGTTTCATAATTCACAAAATAGCTTGCTAGCTTTTTTCTTCTTGATTAATATGAGCACTTTGATACCAAAAATTGACTCCATATAACTGCATTCTCAATTAAAAAAATACTACTTTTCATAGTTCACTATCTCCTATGCCACTTTTTATATCAAAACTATTTTAAGAGGAAAAATCATAGGTAACAGGGGAAATCACTATTACATCTCATTTCGATATTTTTAAATCACATGCATCACTGTACCAATATTTGGTTCCAGGATTGTCCCCAAAATAAAATATTTTAATAGATTAATCATGGAAATAATTAGATAATTAAATTTGCCAAAAATGAATATAAATAAAAAGTTCTAAAACAGAGGAAAAAAATACCTTCAGATATATTGGCGGTAGATGAAATTTATAATCTAGTAAAGAGGTCCCCAATCCAAGACCACAGACCGGCACTGTGTCATGCAAGCAAGTGAAACTCCATCCGCACACAAGCAGGATCCAGGCAGTGCGCAAAACCACGTCCTGCCAGTCCATGGAAAAACCGCCCTCCACCAGTCCCTGACGCCCAAAAGCTTTGGGGGCGGGGGGGGGGGGGCCCAGGGGTTTCATGAATGCAAGGGAAGTTTACCTATCAGTACAGAAAAGGAGCAATGCTTGTTCAGATAAAGTCCATATGCCATAACTTGTTTCATTAATCAGGATCATCTTCACTCTGCTTCTTCTAAATTAACACTTAGGTATTTTTTAAAAACCCAGTAGCTTCTAATTAATCAATCACTGCAATAAATATAGTGGTTAAGATGAACTTTCTTGAATTAACAGTTGGAATTTGTATTAACTCTGAAGGTCTTTGATCTGCAAGTTCTGCTTAAGAAGCTTGTGGAAACTTAGTGTAACACTGAAAAATATCTGTATTAGATCTTGCTTTTTATTTATATTTTCTGATCATGGTGATCAAGGCCATTTTAATCTGGGTTGGATTATAAAGCAGGCTAACACAACCTTGGTCCAGGTTTCTGTTTTTCAAAATAGAATACTGCTACAGATTACTGCATTTAGTAATTAAAGGGACTCTTAACAGCCTAACCTTATGCCCATTATTTGTAAAAGCATTGTTTCTGAAGATGCTAGTACTAAAGAAAAAGGTTTATTCAAATGTGGGTTATGCACTTCAATTGGTAGAAAATTAATTGGGATCTTATGAACCATTTAATTTATTTCAATTTGTATGGGTTGTCAGATATAAACAAAAAGCTTACCACTCTGATTTTTTACTTCTTCAGAAAGTATTTTTACATATCTGCTACAAACTGCAATATCATCTAGCTTAGTTATAGCTTTAGACTGATCCAGAACAATTAATATTCTATCCCACTTCTGTTTTCCTCTGATGCCTATTTGATGCATCAGAACAATTGTATTTGTAAATTGTATAGCAGCTTTTTTATAATTTGCATATTGTGTTCTTCCTTAAGTGAAATACTTTGGAAAACTTGCTCTTTTGCTTTTTTTTTCTTTGGGAATAGAACATATCTTGTTTTGTTCTAGCTGTGTTTGCACTAAAATTTGTATTGGAATACAGAGTCTCTTAGTTTTGCTTATGTGTCTTGTATCAGTGGGTAGTTTTCTTAGTTTCTTAACCAGTTGGGACAGTATATTCTTTTCAATGGCAGCAAATGTGAGGCAACAAACTTCAAAGCTGCATATACAAGAAAGTTATATATGCCAACAGTAACCAGTTTATCCACATATGTGTTTTTCTGCTTGGTGTGCCTTGTTACAGCTTTTTGTGTGCGTGTGTGCAAATAAAGTACAATATTTTCAATTTTATTCTTGTACAATTACTCTTTTATATTTGCATAACACTTCCTGGTGCTATTAACATTTTTAGACCTTGGAAACAGGGTCAAATCTACTTGCAGCTATATATTCCATTACTTTGCTACTGATGTGTTTACACTTTTTATTTCTCTGTTTTATAATTGTAGGCTGCCTGGAGTAGTCCCATGGTAAAATAGGCAGCAAATAAATTTAATAAATCAATATAGATTTGTTAGACAAGCTAACTTGTTCCATAGAATGGTTGTGATGAGACAATATAGGTTGTATTATTTGAGTTTTTGGAGGAGAGACAGGATACAGACCAGACAAAACTTTTAAATAATTTGCAGCTGAATGGTTGCTGCAGAAATGTAAGATTCCTTTCCTTGAGATAATGTCTTTGGGCGTTGAGAGATTTTACCCTTCAAAGTAATCTGTAGCACTTTTAAAATAAGATGGGTTATTTTTTGTCATTTTGTTGTTCGTTTCATTTAAAAAAACTACTGGCTCCATTTTTAACAACTGGAAATTTCATATTCTTCCAGATAATTAATATTTATTTTATATTGCATCAGAAAAAGAAATAATCAGTTGAGTTGAAACTGGAATGATATATAAATTCTGAAGTTCTGAATTTTAAAACCAATATTTTTTATTTCTTGTAAAAACAAAATGGTGCTCCATTCAAATCTCAGATTCTATTCAGAATAATTTCTACTGTGAATTTCTGGCAATATTACTGTGAGATCCTAGTGATATAGTTTTAAATGCTTTTACCGATAAACCTTACTTATGTTTCTGTTTGACTTGTTAGTACAGTGCATATGATCTGGATTTTATACTATTTAGTGATGTTTGTTATTACTTCTGTTTTTTTGAGACAGATTGACTAATAGAGACCTTTTCCTTTTAATAGCCCCAACGTGTTTGAAATCAAGTTCCTTTTCAAATATGGCATCAGTGTCCAAGAATAATAACCTTGCTTTTTTGTTGTTGTACATATATTTCTTCAGAACAAATACTCAAATAAAGACAACACATGCTGAAATTATCCTTAAAACAGCTGGCTATATTAGGAAAAGTGGTAAAATCTGGAAGCAAATACCACCTACAGAGTTTATGGTTAAGGAGGCAAGTAACTATTAGGTCTCCAGAATTTGAGTAGCTTTCTCAGGCTTAGATGTACAGGTACAATACAATTGGACACCATCTGCATAATCGTGCCACTGAACTGCATTGCTCAATGCAACCTCTCCTAGTTTCATTGATATAGAGGAGCATTTGTGACATAGTGAAGGAATTGAAACTAAAAATTAAGCCCCACTATAATGGAACTTTTTTTTATTCAAACAGGCAGGCTTGCACTCTGGAATAGGTACTTATATGTATCTGTCTATTTGTTTCTATATACATGCACATGTACTATCTGCGTATGTCATATATTATTGCTGATATGTATGTGTTTCAAAACTTGGCAGAGCGATCTAGGTAAAATTTTATATCAATAAAACCATCTAACCTAAATACAAAAATTAAAACAAATGTATTGCAGTATGTGTTGGAGACATTTGGATAAAGAGGCACACTTTTTGTGATTTAAAACAAGCCCACCAAGAAACGCTCCTCCTGACTTACACTGTAAGAGTTACATTTGCCTCTTGGGTGGGCAAGGTGGTGTTGGATATGGCAATGTCAGCACCTTAACTTGGGCTTGATAGCTTACAAATAGCCAGTCTAGTATTTTCAGGCCCAAAGGTCCTATCTAATAATTGGATTAAAGTGTTCTGTACTCATTGCAGGACCCCCATTAAGTTCAACAGGACCCCAGTGCACTGTCCATTGCAATAAAGAAATTATGTAGACCCAGTTCCAGTTTTGAACAATGACTTAGTTCGTTGAAGCCACACAAAGCACCAAGTTGAGCTGTTCTAATTGACACAGGTAGATATAGTGGGTAGGGATGGGGAGAACCCATCACATTGATAGATTGGAGACCGCTAATCCAAATGGATGGTCTGCTTTGGAAAGCTAATTTCGTCTGTGAAAATGAGGTCCTTATTATGACATACCCTAATGAGATTACTGAACCTGGTCTGTATCAGTCTACATAGTATCATAGCTGATAGAGCCAGCTATGTTGGCTGTGAGCTCCCTTGCCACTTGCCATCATGCGAGCTCCAGTGACAGAGTAGAATCAACTACAGCCCCCAAAATATACATATTTTCCTTCAGAAGGAATATTGTCTCATCTGAAACAAACTATCTTCCTAATCGTTGAAAAATGATCAGGCAAAGGAACTCTACATTTGATGTCTGATTTAAAAATATAGAAGAGCTCATTAATTTGCCATACATTTTTATTTTGATAATCAGGAGTCAGTGGCCCAATGAAAGACAATGATTTGCTCTCCCACTAAGCAGTTTTATTAACTTTTCTCTGAATAGTGTAGAATATTCTCCAAGCCCAGAATAACTTCATAGCAATCTACAGGGAATAAGGGAAAGCATGTTTAATGACATTGCAACAGCAACAGAAAGGTACCTATTGACATCTTAAGTATTAAAATGGTGATTATAATTGGAGTTGTTGCCAAGATGGACAGTTGAAGAATCTGGGAAATTCATTAGGTATCTTTGAACAAAATGTGTTAATGCAGAGAAAGAAGTTCCAATTTATTTGCATGCAGAAGCAAATTGGGATTTTTTGCAAGTGGGTACCCAAGATGCTAGGTAACGGACTCCACTTCAAGTAGGCTTCTCCATGTACAGGTAGTCCTCGAATTACAACAGTTCATGTTGTAATTGGGTGTCACAGTTCAAATTTACAACAGCACTGAAAAAAAGTGACCTACGACCATTTTTCACACTTAACAACTATTGCAGAATCCTCGTGGTCATGTGATCAAAATCCGTATGCCAGACAACTGACTCATATTTGCAATGCCTTGGGGTCATGTGATCAGCTTCTGGGACCTTCTGACAAGCAAAATCAATGGATTCACTTAATAACTGTTACTAACAAACAGCTTCAGTTATTCACTTAAATGTGGCAAGAAAGGTCATAATATGGGGCAAAATTCATTTAACAAGTGTTTCACTTAGCAACAGAAATTGTGGACTCAATTGTACTAAAAAAATACACTGAAATTTGTTCTGGGATAATTATTACACTTGGGTAGTCAATGTTACTTATCTCAAGCTGTTTATTTTCAATATTTTGTTGATCATTGTGTTCAAATAAAATTATATAGTGTGGCATTCCTCCAGAATAGATTTTGAAACCTCTCAAGAGGTCTAGTAGGGGCGTGAAACATTTTTTTTCTCCAGTTCTTTCAAGCAAAATCTTGTAAAAATTCATCTGATTTCACTGTGTTCTGTTCCAGTTAAGAAGTCAATTTTTATTCTCTGCTTTGCCCTGTCAGTGATAATAACAGTCCTCCTTGATCCACCATCTTATTATTTTCCTAATATGCTTGTGTTTATCTGTTTTTTTTAAATGATCATACTTTTGTCATTTTTGCCTTAAAGTCTCCTTTTGGCAATAGCTTGCTTTTTTTTCCCTTGTAAGTTGCTGCCTGGGTAAAGAACATAGGTTTTTTTTTAGGTCAAGACTAGGTTGTAATCAGTGGGTGACTTGGCTTCAGTGATAGCAAACATATATTCCAGAATAATGTGTTTAGCTGCACTTTCTCTTTGGCCCATTTTCTCCCCCTCTCCCCTTTTGTTGTCTGGGTAAATTAAGAAAGTGAAGATATACAGAACTGACCCATATTGCAGAAGGTGTCTTTGAATCCTTTCAATTTTTATCATATAAACACATTTAAAGAGATTGAGACTGCTGGGTCAAGCTGGGCGTTTCACTAAGGAGAACAAATAAAACAAGTGAATGGAATCTTTGGGACAGAAATAAACTTAATGCAGAAAGCCAAAGCAACAAAATGCTTTAGAGAGGCATCCAGTGTTTGAAGCATCAGGGTTGGGTTTTAATGCATCACTGCCATAACAGTGCCAATGGGCTTCAGTTCCAAAATGACAAATTTCTGTTCCAAACACAGACAATAAATCAACCCTTTAATGTCACATATGGTCCTTGGCATGTGGCAGTACTATTGCCATGGTTCTGCTGGAACCCTGAAAATTTTGCATTTACTTTAAAAAACACCAAATATTGGAACGTTCAATTGCAACAATCCTAACATATGAGATGCATCTGTACCAGGTGCCACATTTAATTACTTCAGCTACATTATATGCTTTCAATTCTAGATAAATTTATTGATTTAAAGAAGAATTTGGGCATAGTGCTTGGAACTCCACTGAAACATTGTACCATTATGGTGCTACTAAATTGTGTGTTCCTTCCAACTTCATTGAGAAAAGTCTTAACAGCACTGAGAACAGCAATATTTCCAAGATTGCAAAAAGTCTGAGGATTCACATTAGCAGTAGTCAATATAGTCTCTCCAGCACTATGAACTGGAAATTACAGCATTACAATAATGATGTGTTCATACTGTAGAGGGTTCTACTGTATCTAGCTTGATTTTTTCATCAATATATTCCATTTAAAAAATTCATTTACATTCTCCTCCCTTTTTGCCTTAGACAAAGATTTCAGTGTTCCTTTAAAGTCTGAATGTAAACTCACATATGGAAACACTTAACTTTTTTTTTCATAAGGAGAGAGCTTCTACTGAGTTAACACTGAAATGTGTTTGGAGCTTAAAATTCAAATTATTAAACTGAATTTTTTAGTTATTCTTTCAACCACTATGAATTTAAACTGAAAGCCAAACCTCTCTAAACTATTTCCTTGGAAACTTAGTAACTATTGATTAAAACTGACCATTCTTTTAGGAAACACATTGTTCCTTTCTTTACAAGAAGGTTTTAT